AGCAATCTGAAATGCCATTCCTCAAATAGTTAAGAATCAGCGATTTTTGAAGTAAGCTGAACAGAATCACCACGTTTTTCTCCCTGTTCCCTTACAGCACAGCTAAGGGTGCTGACGGCGTCTAACGCCCAAGCGTTATTTCTGCAGAGAGCAGGTTCTGGCCGAGGCAGCAGCGCCTTGCCAGGGTCACTGCTGTATAAATCACTCATCGACAACCGCCCGGGGAGGAATTCACCCTCAGAATCGCTCACATCTTGTCCGGTTTTACACAGGCACAACTCTACCAGCTCCACCAAGCATGAAACCGGTGCGCCTAGGGCTGGCAGCCTGTCCTAAACCGGTGCTGGATGTGGCTGCCAACACAGCCTGACTGTAGAGACGCGGTGCCATGCTTGTGTCACTGAATGTCACCTGGGATCTGCTCCCAACCAGCCAGCCGGGCCGGGGAGATCTGTATTTACACTGGGGACCTTGCCTCCCCTCTGAGCTCACCTCCTGCAGCTCAGTCAAGCCACAAGAACAACACCACCGCTTAAGCGTTGTAATTAAAGGTTGTAATGAGATGCCAACCAGATCCTTTGGTGGAGAGGGAAAGTCCAAGGGACACTACAAGCTTCACAACCCGCCTTCTGAAACCAGAGGCATCCAGAGGTGCCCGCCGGGATGATTTCCAGAGCAGCACGGCACGGACGAGATCACACTCATCCCTGGCGCTAAGTTAACCGGTCGGAGGAATCAGGGCACGTTACCACTCAAGTGTTAAATACATCCAGGACAAAAACGCTTAGAGAATCACTGCTTTTCAGAAATCTGGGCGAGCCTTTAACCGTGGAGGTTTAAATAGGGAAAAGTTCTATCTGCAAGTGATTAAACACGGCTTTACAGCCATTGTCTCTGCGCTGGTGAAATAAAAACGACTCAAGCTGCACGCAGCAAATCTCAGCACTTACATCCCACCGTTGAGTTTTCTGTCTACTTTCTTTGGTAGCCACTTTTTAAAATTATTATTTATTTTTTTCCCCAAAAAACCGAAGTATGATGCTAGCGAGGATGGAACCACTGTCTGCCTGGCACACACCGGCTCAGCCGCAGCGCCCGGGGATGAGAACGAGCAAAAACGGGGAGGAAAAAACAAACCTTCAAGGGGAGGGAGGGAGTGGGGGGATCCGAGAGGGCGCCGAGGTCCTACCGCAGCATCCCGCAAATGCCCAGGGGAGCGGTGCCGGAGAGATGGCGCTGGGGTG